TCTATCTATCTAGTCTCTCTGTGTCTCTCTCCACCTCTCTCTCCCTCCCCTTCCCTTCTTGCACTCCCTCTCCTAACTTCTGCGATGCCTTCCACTCCATCATCAATACCACCCTAGTCCAAGCCGCCATCATTTCTCACATGTCCAACTTGACAGCCTCATAACTTGTCTTCCCACCTCCATTCTTGCCTCCCTCCATCAATCCTCCACTCCCCCAGACAAACTAAACTGCAAATCTAATCAAGGCACTCGCTGCCTAACACCAGAGGTAAGACCAAACTCCTCAAACACCCTACAAGGCCCTCTCCACTCTCCAACGCCACCCAGCTCCGTGCCCCCCCACTCACTGCACCCCAGCCTCCCGGTCTCCTGGCTCTTCAGAGTCCTTCTCTCTCCACCCCAGGATTTTTGTTCTTGCTCTTTCCTCTCCCTGGGGTGCTGCCCTCACCCCCAGCCTCATACCCCTTCATCTAATTAACCTTCGCTCGTGCCTCACCTCTTACCTCAGGTTCAAACATCACTTCCTCAGAGACGACGTCCCCATTTGCCCAACCCCATCAGACATCACTGGTCCATACTTTCCCATTCCTTTGACTTTTTCTTTATAGCACGTATCCAGGTTTATAACCACATCTAGCTCAGATGGACTGATTCATGCCAGCCTCTTGCACTTAAGATCCAGGAAAGCAGAGACCATGTCAACATGTTCAAACAACCGTACGCCCAGGACTCAGCACGTGGCTGGCACACACTTCCGGTTGTTGCCCCCCTCTCTACTCCCACCTCCACCCCGTTGCATTCCCAATGCTGAGTAAACTGTTAGTTACAATGCATGTCATGTTTCTGCAGCTGGTTTTCTTAAAGCATTCCTTCAGCCCGCTTCCTCTGCCAAAGAGTGAAGCGATGGAAGGTAGACCAAGAGAGCCAGGAAAATGGGAGAGAGCGCATTTCCTTATGAAAGAGAAGAATGCCAACAGCTTGGCCACACCGGGTGATAGACACGTGAGCTTGAGACCCTCTCCCCTAACATCCTCCACATATTTCGATGATATGTATTAATTTATTCATTAAAGATTTATTTCTGGGGCCAGCCGAGTGGCGCGACGGTTCGGAACTGGCTTGGGACGCCAGAGGGCCCCGGTTCAGATCCCACATATGAGGGCCAGTGACACTGCCCTCCACAGCTAAGATGCTGAACAACAGCTCAACCTGGAGCTGGGCTGCTGTGAGTCGCCGGCGACGGCGTAGGCTGCAGCCCCTGCTGCAGTGGGTTGCCATGGGCTACCGTGTGTAGCCAGCAGCCAGCAGCCAGCGTGAGCGGCCAGCAGCCGCAGTGAGTGGCCGTCCAGAAGCCAGCGACTGATCTGCCTCACCCGGGAAGAGCGCAATGATGGTGCCAACTTGGGCCAGTGAAGCAACGTCCTCCACAACTAGACTGAAGAACAAAAGGACAGCAACTTGTCTGTTCCCCTTCCCCCAATTTCCCAGCGCTGTTCCCATCCCCCCAATTCCCCAATAAAAAAATCTTAAAAAAAAAAAAAGATTTATTTCTGGACACCTACCTGGTACTGCTTTTGGTGGTGGGGATACAGCGAAGGCCAAGGCAGATGTCACATGGAGCCCACAATACACTGTGTGGCGGTTTTCTGTTGTGTACCTGTCCTTCCCCTGTGGTTACAGCACAGGCTGGAGCCAGGCTGCCTTGGACCTAATCCAAGCCAGGTGGTTTTGGGCAAATAACCAAACCTCTCCGTGCCTCAGTTTTCTCACCTGTGAAGTGGGGCTGATGACTGTACCTTCCTCCCAGGGTCAGGTTGAGGATACAATGAGCTAAGACATAGCTCTCTCATAATAATCCCCCAATAATGTTAACTCTTATTACCTGCCTCTGTACCCTAAGCAGGAGAGGCTTCGTGGGTGTGTGACCTGTGTGGTCACACAGGACCCCACCCCGTGGCTCCATGTGTGGTTTCATGCCTTGCTGTTGCAATGCTGAAACTCTTAATTTTTGAACAAGGGACCATGCATTCATGTTTGCATCAGGCTCCATAATTACATGACTAGTCCTGACCGACATACATTAAATGCCCAGGAAAAGTCCACTGAAAGAATAAATAAGTGAATAAATTTAGCCAACCAGAATTGTCCACTCAAGCATGCCACTGCCATACAGACCCAGTCAAGTTGGTCAGCCCTGGAGCAAAATTAAACAACCCCTTTTGTTGACACATCCTGCCCCTCCCCCCGGGACCAAAAGCCTGTCCTAAAACCTTAAAGTTCTTCTCATCCAACCCATCCATCTCCCAGGAAACTCAGACCTTGACAGCTTGCCAAGGTTCACTGTGCAGCCAGCAGAGAACCCGGTGCAAGGCCCCACCCTGATCACAGCCTGCCCACATCCATGGCCCCATTCCCTCTCTCCCTGCAGAGCATCCCTGGGACAAGGCATTCCTGGGTTCCTTCATCCCCATTTTACAGATGGCGTAATGGAGGCTCAGAAACAACAAGGTCCGTCAAGATTCCCCGTGCAGCCCGGTAACTACACCCAGCCAAGTTTCTAGTTTTATAAAGAGCCTAACCACAGCCACACAAGTCATTTTGAGAGTGGCTAGTCAGATAGGACAACTACACGCCGCATTTGCGATTGTGCCCGCCCAACCCTAAATGACATCCCATGTTCTGACACTCGGGCCTGCTAAGACCAGGTCAGGTCATTTCCAAGTCCCACATGCCCTGCTTCGTGGGTGCCAGGGCCCTGCATCCTTCAGTGTTCCTTGAGAGTCTGCAAGAGGCTGACTCTGCACAGAAGCTGGTGATGCCACCATGAAACAAACAGACAAAAGAGCCCGCCCCTCTAAGACGGGAAACAGACAAGAAATAAATAAATAGTATATGGTGCGGTGCTCAGAGCCCTGGAGAAAATCGAAGCAGTGGAGGGCCAGAGGGAGTGAACATTGAGGAGGGGAGGAGTGATTTCAATTTTAAATAGAATTGTCAGGGTGAGCCTCCATGAGGAGGAGACATATGGGTAAGACCTGAAGAAGGTGAAGACGCAGGTTAATGCAGCGTGTTAGGGAAAGGGCGCGCGGAGCAGAGGGACCAGCCAGTGCAAAGGCCCTGAGGCATTAACCGTGGTCCGCAGGTAGGTAGCAAGCTCTCTGAATGAACTGGGGAGCTGTGTCAAATCCCATACAACCCTCTCCCCAGCCCCGGTTCCTCAGGTCAGTCCAGGTGCCTGCAGACAGATCCATTTGACAGGGTTTTGAACCATTACTTGTTGAGTCTCTCCCAGGGCACTGCTTTATTAATCAACGTTGTGGAATTTTTGTTTTGTTTTTGCTTGGGGTGGTCACATGTAAACAATAATTCACAACAAAATTTCAGGACCTAACTTGGCTTGAGCTATCAGACCTGCACTCACGGGCCCACATGACTCTAATCTGTCCCTTTCGGGGCCACAGCCTCGCTGCTCACCACAGACCCAGGCAGGCCCAGCAGACCCCTTCCTCATGCAGGCTGCCTGACCCTGGGTGTGCTGGAGTCTGCCCCACCTCCATCCCCACCCCACTCTCAATGCCTGCCTGGGGGAGCCCCTTACAATACTGGACACATGGCCCTTGCTCAGTATGAGGGCCAGGGGTCCCCTCCATCTTGGAAGAGGCTGGGAAAGCCCAGCCAGTTCCTTCTCCCAGGAATGGATGGTATGGGGGC